TTAATTGGCCACATAAGAGATTTCTTGAACAACATAGGGCTGCTCGAAGTCAATACGTGTCTGGAGCCCAAAATTCCTGTAAGTAATTGTATTTGCCATTATTACAGGTATGTTGCTTTTTAAACAAAAACTTCCCATCAAGCAGCAGGGTTTTCATTATTAACTGTTAACAGATTGGCTATCCATATCATTTTGGTTGAAATGCTGTTAAAATGTGTTGTTTAGCCATCCCCCTTGACCTTTGGAACAAAATGGTTGTTTTCATTGGCACATCTGTTGCCTCCGATAAAGATGAAAAATCTATGATACGGAGATGTTGCCATGCAGCATGCTTACTCAGGTGCAATGTCAGAGAGAAAGAGAGAGAGGCAATTTGTTTGGTCCCAAGAAGTAAAGTGACACATGCTGTTTAATATACATGAGAAATGTTAAAGCCTTTTCATACCTTGTCATCTGCATTTGTAAAACCATGATTTCTAGTGGTAGGGTCTGTTTTGATAATGTTTATAGTTAGTATAATACCTGTCCTGTTAAAATGTCAACGCAATGATTTAATATATTTGAAATGTAGTCTTTGATTCAATTATTAGGGAAACTATTATGGATGTTTGGGGTCTCAGTGGAATTGACTTGATTTTAAAACCATCCAAAATGCCCACTTTACTAAAAAAATAAACCTTGAAAATGTTATTTACAAAGGTACATTATCAGCTATTGCTACTTGATATTGTACAATTTAGTTAATGAGATTTAACCAAAAGTCTGTTAAAATTAATTTGTCAATTTATATCCATTTATATGATCCTGTAATTTAATTATATCATAATTTAAATTTAAAGCAAATTTAAGCAAGGAAAATATGTAGACAACACTAAGCAATGAAATATTTGTATATGTGAATCTATAATGTCCATGTACTCCTGTATATTGGTTAAATAATTGTCACATAATGTTAGGCTGTCATAATAAAGAAGATAAGTTTTTACCTGTGTCGTGGTAAAAAGTGATAAATCATCTACTGAGGCAATCAAACATTGTAACATTTTATCTGAACATTGTTCACCATGGCAACCTATTTCTTCCCTTCAATGATAGTATTGATATGATGTGAATTCATAATGTTAATTTAAGAGAAAATTGAAATAAATCCATGTCTTTCATCTTTTAAATGATATCTATAGCTTTATAATATGCAATTCTAAAGGGGGTTTGATGTGTAAAGTGCATTTTTTAACACCAGGGCATATAAACGAGTCCACTTCCTATTTTAGCAAGAAGGGTACACAGTTAAAATATATAGGCTCCCAAGACATGATACAGCGAGTCTGACAGGAAGTAGCAGGCGCTTTTACTTGCAAGACATATTACATGTTGAATTGTATATTCTCGCAAGAACAAGGCGATTGAGTTTCGTCGAAACATGTGAAAAATTGCCTGAATTTCCATGTACAAATAATTGCTAGAAGCGAAAAGAATTTTTCTGACCGAATTTGTTTCCGTTTCTAAGTGAAGCATTTTTTAACTTGTCCGTATTATATTTACATAGTTAATTCTTGAAAATTTTCACTTGTCCGTACAGGCTGTGGGACAACCTGGGCTATACGGATAATTGATTTTGCCGGCCCTGAAAATAATAATGGGTTTTGAGTGAAACCGGCTTTTTTTTCAGCAAGTTAAATTAATGTGTGTCCTCTCAATTTTTTTGCCTGGTTTCTGTTGGCCTGCTGGATTCATTTATGGTGTTGCCTTGAATGTGTCACACTGACCATTGCCTCTATGCATGCTTAAATTTCTGTTGATAACATCGCATACAGTTGTTGATGCTATTAAAAATTTTCATGCGATAAAACTTACAGCTAAGTCTTTGATGTTGATTTTTTTCAATCAATGTCTAAAATATGTTAATTTTTCTTTATTATAAAAGTCAATTTCATATTTACGATTTAGTAGTCAATAATTTAATTTCAGCGTTTTTTCAGTTGCACTTTTCGATTCAATTACATGGAGGATCCAGTTTTACAGCACTCTACAAAAGTTTCCTTTATTGAGTGATTTTATCAGGCGATGGTAGAGAGAGTTTCTGCCAGTTTAAAATATCTTAACATCACATAACTAGGAAGGGTAAGTGCATTTAATATCGCCTTGCTGTTAAAACCTATGTATCTAATTGAGTGAATAAGCCAATGGCTGACAAAGACATATTTTCTTTAACAACTATTTCTTCAAACAGAATGAAAAAAATGTATAACACCTATATAAGATTTTTCAGGTGAGAAACAAAGGGCGGTAAAAGCTATACTAAAACTAAGATTTTATCTAAGTTGTGAGAATTTACATATAACTTTACTGAAGATGCACTGGTAGATTGGGAATCAGTTTAGGCAATTTACACTTGTTTAACTAGAAAGGATGAGATTATCGTTACATATAACGTGCTGTACACTTATCAAGGGGTGATCCTTCTTATTGTTTAAGCTGGCCTTTAAATACACACAGTTTGCACTTCTATATACTGTCACTTTCATGTATGTTTTGAAGTGAGATCATTTGCATTACCGGTACATGATATTTAATATGCACATCATTGATCAAGTACAGGTTGTCTTTTTTGTTTGCCCATTTGCATCATGTTTTTATTAAAATGCCTTGGTAAATGTTGAAAAATGAAATAATTTTAATAAAAAATTATTATCATAATTTATGTCAACAAGAACATTGCTCACTCCAAATTTAGTAATTTTTGATTCAATTTAATAACAGCTTATTGCATATAAACATACATCATTAATGCATGAACATTTCTATACAAAGGGTTGGACCAAAAGTTTCTGAATATCTCCACACATCACTAATGCTTTCATAAGAACCCACATTTACTAATAACATTCTTATCAATTTTGAAGAAGAAAAAAAACCCCAACAAATCCTGTCTCAGTTAGTTGTACTTTCTGCCTGGTATAATCATTAATTACATGATTGATTGAACATAATTGCTTTATTGACTGATGAAAACAGCCAATTGCCTTATCTTGATCTATTAATAAATAAATAAATAAATGGTCAACTGGCCAGCGAAAAGCAATCTTAAATTGACATGTCAAGTTCAACAACCCTGAGTACATGTATTTACTATTTAGGTCTGACAAAATCACAAAGAGATGTTCTGTTCATTTGATATGAAACTGTTAAAGAACATTACAATTATTGATCTATCTGTTCCATTATCTATAGTCTTATCAGTACCTGTATAAAGTCAATAGTGTTCACTATCTTGAAACATATCTGTATTTAATGGTTGACAGCTGTATAGATAATGGTGACATGTGACAGATTAACCAGTCACATTCTCCTATAACCAAGATGTTGTAAAACACTTCTTTGGTCATTTAAATCATCCAGATAAAGATACCGCATTTCTTCTCATATGCTTTCCCTTATGGTAGTTATTCCATTGGCGAGGGTAAACGAACCTAAACTTAAACACTGGTTGTAATTTTTGCAAAGTTTCACACAACTGTTGCTGTATTTGTCATGAATTGTTTTATTGTTGAATTACACTGAAGTAGAATAATAGCTGCATTGAAAGAAATGCGATAAAATTTTATAGGTGTTAGTTACATATTCAATCTAAACTTTTCTTTTTTTCTCATTTAATTGATTGCTTAGAGTTATCATGCTGAATGCATATGCTTTTAATAAAGAAATGTTAACAATCAACAGTAAAGATAAGAAAACTACAGTTCACAACAAAGGGCGTACATGGCCTGGTGGTTAAGGTCATTGACTTCAAACCAGCTGCCCCTCATAGCTGTGTGGGTTCGAATCCCGTCAAGGACTTTAGATTTTTTTTCATGTGATGAAACTTCCCAGCTAACTTATGGAACGTCAGTGGTTTTACTTGGGTTCCTGTTTGTGCATAAAATAATCCATAGAGGGGTTTTCCTCCACCAGTAAAGCTGTTTTATCACCATAATACTGTTTGATTTATGGGCCTTGGATAAGCAATTTCAAGACCTGTGCAAGCCGACTGTTTATTTTTACAATTTTGCCGAATGCAATTAGCCCTGAAACACTTTGTGTGCAGATACTTGTTCCAGTATCATTAAGAATCCAGAAACTTTGTGTTGGACTGTTGGTTTAAAACTTAAATTCTGTTAATTGAAACTGGTACTTAATTCAATTTAACACAACTAAACACTTAAATATAGTAGAAAATCTAGTGTCTGAAATTGGAATTTGTTATTGTTAAAACAGTTATTTTGCATTGTCATATAGCATGTAGATAAATAATCTTTATTAATTTTATCAGTGTAATAAATGTTTCTGTTATGATGATGATATGGTCAAAAATTTGATATATTTAAATCCAACAAAAATATACTAACTTAATACATATACATGTATTTATGTTGTTTAATTATTGGTCATAAATAAATTGTTGTTGTTGTCATGGTCAGCTTTTTTTGGAGTTTTTTCTCGCTTGACTGCTTAAATATTTTATGACACTGGTGACATCAACTTACATTTCATTCTAATGATTTATATACAGTAATTGTTATGTCTACATTGTGAGGAAAAACCAATTACTAGTAGTTAATTTGAATTTCTTGTTGGTTTGATTTGTCTCGAACATAAATTGTTATTATAAATGAATATTTTGAGAAACATTAATTACCGGTAAACAACAATCTTATGTTCTGTCTAGGTGGTAGAGCTAATTTGAATACATTGTATGCATTGTATACATTGTCATGCAATGATGTATATGATGAAAAAAGTGTTGTAACATATCACACAGCATAATTTGTTTGTTTGAATATATTTATTCTATTAGCATCTTTTGGTTACTGGCTTCCAATCACATGACCTTCACCTCTGTTAGATTGAATTTGCTCAGAAATAATTTTAATTTTCAATGATATTATTTCTTCATGTTAGAAAGTCATTTAGCCATCACGTTTATATTATATTATGAAAAACTGAATCTTCCTATACTTTTATTTCTCCCATTGTACATGTCAGAAGAATTTAAGATAAGAATATATTATGATGGTATACTCTTGAGTACTGATACACTTGGATGGTCCGAGGTGAATGCTCAGTTTATTGTGTTTCATATCAACTTTGACATTTGTACTTTTTCATTTAGGTATCATAAAGATGAAAGAATGACAATGTTGAACTTTGGTTCCTATAACTACCTGGGTTTCTCACAGAACACTGGCCCATGTGCTGAACAGAGTTTAGCTGTTACACACAAATATGGTATTATGTCTGGAGGCAGCAGACAAGAACTAGGTAAGTTTTTTGTGACCTAAAGATACCAGATTATGTTTGTATATACATTTATAAAGTAGGTTGCCAATGCATAAAGTAGGTTGCCAATGTAAATGCATATATAAGCCAAGCTTTCATGACATTCAGAATTATGGCATCACGCTTGCAGACTAGAAGAAAATGTTTTAAATCTAAGAAAAATACAGTTTGTCTGCGGAAAACAGAAGTCAGTTAAGTTTCTCTGACTCACAAATAATGCAGTATGTATGCAGACAAAAGATCATAATCTTCCAAGTTCCAGAATTATGGCCTTGATACATTATAACAAATTGTATATAAGCAGCTGACAAATTGTACTCAGTAGTGACTGTGAAATATGGCATTGTGTCGGCTGGTGAACTATGGCATTATACCTGCTGAGAAATAGTATTTTACAAAATGAAAAATGGCATGTAAGAATTCCTGACTGTGGCATCATGCGGCTTCATGCCTGCTGACAAAAATGTATACATGTATAAGCTATGTAGGCACCATGCTTTCTGACAATATGCATGTATGGGAAAGCTTTTATGACATAGAAATATGACATTGTTCCATTAGCAGCAGACTGTATGAGATAGAAATATGACATTATAGCATTGGCAGCAGGTTTATTTGACTTAGAAATATTAGCTTTTATAAATCAGGAAATATGTATGTAGGACAAATGCTTTAAAACAGGTTTAAAGAACATCAGTGTCAAAATCTATTTTCATTATATGAATGGTTTTAGGACATTTGGATATCCATGAAGAACTAGATAACCTGGTGGCAGATTTCCTAGGTGTGGAGGCAGCCTTCACGGTGCCTATGGGGTTTGCTACAAACTCTATGAATATGCCTTGTCTAGTCCAAAAAGTAAGTATAAAAGTCTTATGTTTTATTTCCTAAAATTGGCATGCAAATACTGTATTTGTTATGTAAGCTTACATTGAATAGAGTACAGACTTAAAGTAATTTGCATGCTTGTATAACATTCCAATATACTACTAAGAAAGGGTATGATTTTGATCACAAATATTTAATGTTAAAAGGAAAGTTAAATTTACTGGTCATACTTGATAAGTTTTATAGCTGAATATTTTGTTGCTTGTACTCTGTGTGTTGTAGATTTGATTTGAGTTTTCAAAATGGCAAAGTCATATGAGTTATATGCAAGGCTGATTCCTAAAATAAGTTTCATCAAAGAAATAAAACAGTAAACGCAGGTTTTACTGCGAGCAATTTAAATACAGTTACTTAAGCAACAAAGATACATGTCGAACATTTTTTCAGTCCAGTGTTGTCAATTAAAGACATGTGATCATGAAAAACTATCATAGTTCAATACTTCATGTGTTTTATATATAATATGATGTCAAATTAGGAACATATATGTCCAGAAACATCCCTTAGTGCACTCTTGGACTGTTTTATTTAAATATTTAAAAAGTTGCTTCTAAAAAATATTTGTGTGTTGTTTGGCAGAAGAAAGTATAAACATTACATAGTCCAGAGATATGTTTAATATTTACCTGTAAGATAATTTTGAACTTCTGGAAAACATGTTATAAACTAAATTATTTAAACCCTGATCATTTGCTGATATTTCAAAATTATGAAATATGCGTTTTCATAATATCCTGGTATAAAATGTACGATGAAAGATGATTAGATTAGAGTAAAAACTGATGTGAATTATTATACATTAGAGAATTATGGAGCCTAATTTCCTGCTGATATATTAACTGAAGCCTCCAGTTATAATGTTTCATTAATTCATCAGCATTAGGCATATTTGTAAATGCCATCAAGTTATTAATAGTCTGTTATAAAGTTGAATCTCATTATAACATTTCATTGAGTTAAGACAATTTTGCACCCAACCTATTCATGAATTTATTAATAATATACCTTACTTTGCTAAATTGGTAGGGTGGACTAAATAAATTAATTTATTTCTGAGATTTTGATATAAAAATGCTGAAACTAAACATACAAGGGTATTGATTGTGGTCATACTGTACTGTACAGGCTTGCATGGATGTAAACCAGTGGTATAATAGTCAATATCAATGCAAGAATTCAAAAGGATATTTTATATGCATAGTTCATGTTGCATGTGATCATTCAGTCATGATAAAAATATACAATACATTGTATTATACTTGGTCTTGTTATAACATCTGCATATTCAGAGCTTTGCTTCTTCTATAGCAAGGGCTGATGTAAGCTTTTCTCCTTGGACAATTATTCATGTCCATACAGTTTTCTTCTAAAAATCAGTTAACAATAAGTTTTTATGCCCCCGCCATGTAATGGCCGGGGCATATAGTGTTACCCTGTTCCATCCTTCCGTCATTCTGTCATTCCGTCATCATCAGTTTCCGTTCATTATCTTAAGAACGGTTGCACACATTCAACTCAAATTTGACATATGGATATATCATGAGAAAATACAGGTCAAGTTCGAATTTGGTCATGGTTCAATGATTTTTGGCAGAGTTATGCCCCTTTTACTTTGAAAATAATATGAAATTTCAGTTTCCGTTCATTATCTCCCCAACGGTACAACACATTCAACTCAAACTTGACATATGGATATGTAATGAGAAAATACAGGTCAAGTTCAAATTTAGTCATGGTTCGATGATTTTTGGCAGAGTTATGTCCCTTTTACTTTGAAAATAATATGAAATTTTCAGTTTCCGTTCATTATCTCCCCAACGGTACAACACATTCAACTCAAACTTGACATATAGATATGTCAAAGGAATGCGCAGGTCAAGTTCAAATTTGGTCATGGTTTGATGATTTTTGGTTGAGTTATGCCCCTTTTTACTTTGAAAATAATATGAAATTTTCAGTTTCCGTTCATTATCTCCCCAAAGGTACAACACATTCAACTGAAACTTGACATACGGATGTGTCAAAGGAATGCGCAGGTCAAGTTCAAATTTGGTCATGGTTCAATGATTTTTGGCAGAGTTATGCCCCTTTCACTTTGAAAGTAATATGAAATTTTCAGTTTCCGTTTATTATCTCCCCAATGGTACAACACATTCAACTCAAATTTGACATATGGATATGTTTTTGGAATGCCCAGGCCAAGTTCGAATTTGGTCATGGTTCAATGATTTTTGGCAGACTAATGCCCCTTTCACTTTGAAAATAATATGAAATTTACAGTTTCTGTTCATTATCTACCCAACAGTGTTACATATTCAACTTAAATTTGACATATGGATATGTCAAAGGAATGGTCAGGTCAAGTTGGAATTTGGTCATGGTTTGATGATTTTTTGGCAGAGTTATGTCCCTTTCACTTTGAAAATAATATAGATACATCTTAGTAATAAGCAGTTTAAGTTTGAATTTGGTTGTGGTTCAATGATTTTAGACAAACTTATCTTTCCTGAATGTTGGAAAATTTTTGAACTTTCAGTTTCAGCACTCATACTTTTAGCCATTATTTTGGCTACAAATATGCAATATGCTATTTTTAAAAGGTTAAGACTGAATAATTTCAGTGCCTTGAACAGTGTATGAAAATGGTTTGTGTTAACATTGAAAAGTTTAAAGGGCTTTGAACTTAAAATGAAAAAAATAATTAATGCACCATCTGAAATTTTGGCTGCATGCGGGGGCATCCGTGGCATGATGACACATTTCTAGTTATCTTATCCTTTATCAAAATTTCCATGTTATTTTTCTTAATGGTTATATGAAGGGTCTCTTCCCCTGTCAAAAAAGCCTGGATGTTTAAAAAGCCATTGCTTTAATGCTTTCTACCAATATTTATTAAATCTGCCAGTAAGTTAAAAAAAATCAAAACAAAACTGCTTTTTAAAAAAAAAAGGTTATTCGGTCTATGAGTAAAAGAGGAAGTTAAAGATTCATCCTCTCACACTATTGAGTCTGTACCATGCAGGAGTCACCACCATATTTCTTTATGAAAAGTCTAGAAACTTATTTAAACCAAATTTTACATAAAATCTGTTTCACACAGAAAGTTTACATTAGATTAGATGTAAATTTCATTTAAATTTATGCATAAGCTATGAAAAAACTGCCATGCATGCATAATTTCTTTATGCAAAATAAACACTGAAATATCAAAGCAGAATCCTGGTACATTCGTACTAATCTGAAGATTTTTGCACAAAAAATTATTCCAAATTTCATAAACTATCTTTATAACAATTTATAGATAAGTAAAAAAAATCTACAGATAAATATAAATGCTTGACAAGGTTTCACTATTTTTCATTTCATTTCCATTTCCCAGCTGGCATTATTTCTTCAGGTGGCACAACCCGCTGGGGGGGGGGGGGAAGGGGGCACCTTTATAGAACCACTATCTTTCTGTTTACAAGCTAACTGATTAGCCCTCTGACATAAAAAAAATCCAATGTCCCTTGAGGGATTTGAACCTGTAGCAGTGAGTCTGAGTTATAAAATGATTCAAAGTCAAAGACCCAAATCCCTAGCTTACAGAAGCCCTTTCAAGGAAAGGTAGATCTGTTATTCTAGTAAAAATAGGCAATATCTTGGTTAGAAGGGAGCAGTGGCCTAATGGTTAAGGTATCGGCTTTTCAACCAAGGGATTATGCATTCAATCCCTGCACAGGTCACAATCAGGTTTTCATTGTAGGACACAGCCCTTACATGAACTAGATAGTTCAAGGAAGTATACTTTAGAATGGTTTTAAAGAAGCTACTAGCTTTCTTCACAAGTGAGGTTAAATAAGTACAATGTTCAAAGTCCAAACTTACATCCTGTTTGTATGATCAATTTTCAAATGTTAAGAGATAATCTAACATTCTTAAGTATTATTTGAGTATAATACAAAAACAACAAACAGCAGGAAGTTGTTTAGGCCAGGCAATGTTAATGTTAGAAAATTATGAGTCATTCCTTAACAAAAAAATTATGAACAAATGAATAATGTATGATTATTTAAAATAAATAATTATCAACTTTAATGCTTAAATGTTAATAATTATTTCTTTCTTTCTTTATTTATTTATTTGCTGTTTATATAAATTGATGTTCTGTGCCATATAAAAACAGTTTTATGGATATTTCATGTTATATATTTAAGTTGGGCAGTTATGTAATTAAACATATAGATAATGAATCAAACTAACCTGCATTGAATTTTTTAATCTTATTCTATGAGTGGCAACTGAATTTACCGGTGTGACCTTTGCGGAACACGATCAGCCAGTGCATCCTTTGCTCAGCACTGTTCGCTTTTCAGTCAGTACAGATTTCAAAATTTTCTCTCTTAAGTTGATGAATACAAATGTAGTTTTATCCACATTGAAAGATTAGCAAGCCCATTTAATCCTAAACCTGCTGGAATCAGAAATGATTAGTTTTTGCTACCAGTATAGAGGTAGGCAAACCTGCACGTCTGTGCCGTCTGACCAAGCTCTATATTGTTGACCAACTTCAAATTTTCATCTTGATATTCCTAAAATTGAAAATGGCTCATTCTAAAAAATGGAAGTGGACAAGTCCATTTTAAGAAATTTAGCAGGTTTAGGGTAGATATTTAGCGAAGTAAGAGTTAATGAAATAGATTTTGCGAATATTAGAGAACGTTCCCTTTCATTATTACTATTCAATATTGATGTACTTTTAAGTGTCGACTTCTTTATCTTGCAATCCAGTCTTCTGACAACAGCATGTGTTGAAGGAATGGAGGTACCATTTAGTTAGACATTTACACGTATTATTATAATTCAGTTAGTCTTACAGAGTTTGTTAGATGAAAATTGAGCCACGCCATGACAAAACCAACATAATGTGTTTGCGACCAGCATGGATCCAGACCAGCCTGCGCATCCGCACAGTCTGATCAGGATCCATGCTGTTACAAACCCTATTACAAGTAGAGAAACTGATAGAGAACAGCATGGATTCTGATCAGACTGCGTGGTATCCATGCTGGTCGCAAATACACTATGTTGGTTTTGTCATGACGCGGCTCTTAAATATTAATCAATGTCACTGTGTGTTGTTTGTATGTAGGAAATAGACCTAAATTTATGTAATTTAATGCACAGCCTAACTGATATATACTGGTTTATACTTACATTAGATTTCACACATACTTGATGCATTAACGTTTTTTCCTCATTGGTCTTGACTAGTAGCAGAGCATATAAAATAATGCCAGACTTCACTTTAGTGTAGAATGACCTGGTGCTATTACACTGGTCATTTTCAGGGCTCAAGGTCCATTTTGCATTCACACAGACTTCATGAATGCAAAATGGACCTAATGAGCCCTGTCAGAGTCTCTGAAAAGACCAATTGAAATAGAGATACTGGTATTCTATGATCTTTCCAACAAACATATAGAAATTTAAAGCAGAGGTCCACTTTTTCTCGATTCCTCAAATTCTTGCCATTAAACCTTAGAGCAAAAATATAGAAAAAAATGGTCTGAGATCAAATATGTTTAAAAAAAAAAAAAAATAAAAAAAAATTGAATTATGCTGTGGTGAGAACAGGTTTAGGACAGCAATATTCAGATGAAATTATATGATTTTGTTGTAGTGTAAAGGTAGCCTTTGAACTCTTTTGCACAAATTACTAATAACTTCTACTTTAAGTTGTCTTTATATATGGTAGGGATAGTTTTATGTGATAATTGAAAATTTAATACATGTACTTGTAAATGTCACCTCTCTCACTTTTTAACACTTCTTGAATGTTCTTTCATTACTGTTTTGATATGTTGTTTACATGTACACCATATTGATATTCAGGCTTGTAGTAGAACTAGTCGTTATCTTTACTTTTATCTGTAATAACCAGTAATATAAACAAATATTGCAAGAAGTTTCCTATCCTTAATGATAAATATTGTGGTCTGTATGTCTTGAAGGGTCATCCAACTCAGGGACGTCTGCACTTTACTCATATATAAACTTCTATAACCCATATATCTTTCTTTATTTGTGAAATGGATTTGTCTCCCTTTGAAGTGTAAACAGTTTCAATATTAAAATGTCATGTGTGACTAAAACATTGTGCAGACTGACCTGGCTCTATTCTTGCTGCTTAAACAAGTCAGATTTAAAAGGTTATTACTTGCCAATGGTTATACTTAGACCAAGTTTAAGTTTTCTTAGTAAATTTGTAAGATAAATGAAAGCCTTTGATTTTTTTTCATCTCAATGAAAGCCTTTGATTTTTTTTCATCTCAACTTTGAATGAAACTTTTTTTTTAATTTTTTTTTTTATTTTCAATACTGTGGCATCACAATATTACCATGAGTTTCAGCTATTGTACAGAATAAGTTATTCTTTACATTTTGTTAAGTTTATCCAAAATATCAGTTCATATTAAGTAAAATAATTACACATTACCATTAGTATCTGGTAAAGTAACCATATGTTTTCTTTTCTGAATAGTAATCATAATTCTAATATTATATTTGTGCAAATGTTCTTCTAAGCTATACACTTAAGTTGTAAACATGTACTATTCTTTAGTTGTACAAGAATGATAAAATAAACATGATATACCTACCGATACCTACCCCATATTTCTGAACCATAATATATTCTGCCAGTTCTTGTTCATCCTTTTAATCATGTTTGAAGGTAAAAGTTGTTAGTTAGATTACATAAAATGCGTATTTTAAGTAAGTTTTGCTAGATGTTTGTTAATAATGTATAATTAACAGACAGCATTTTATTATTAAGTTTGTTGTTAAAGATTGTTATTTTGTTATTTCAGGGCTGTTTAATCCTTAGTGATGAGTTGAATCATGCCTCTCTTGTACTGGGAAGTCGGCTGTCAGGAGCCACCATCCGAACCTTTAAACATAACAGTAAGTTAAATATCTGAACCTTTAAACATAACAGTAAGTTAAATATCTGAACCTTTAAACATAACAGTAAGTTAAATATCTGAACCTTTAAACATAACAGTAAGTTAAATATCTGAACCTTTAAACATAACAGTAAGTTAAATATCTGAACCTATAAATATAACAGTAAGTTAAATATCTGAACTTTTAAACATATTAAACAGGAGGTTAAGTAAATCTATAGATTATCATCAGAGACCCATGTCCCAGATTAATTTCATTGCTTTAGTTAGTTGTAGTTTTTAGCAATAAGTGGACATCTTGTCATGTGTTTCTCTCATCTTGAAGGATTTGTGTTCTGAAGTGTTTTTAAAACAATAAAAGATAAAGTGGCTTCTTAGATTTTGGTTTGTTATTTATGGATTCCAAGGAATTATAAATGGGTTCCAAGGATTGTGTATTTCCCTATTTCTCAATTGTTGGGATTCCATATTTCCATATTTCTAACTTGTTCATTATAAACTGTAGACCTTAGTTTAACATCTTCTCAGTAGAATTCTTTTATATTTCAGACATGCAAAGTTTAGAAAAGAAATTAAAAGATGCTGTAATACATGGTCAGCCTAGAACACATAGACCATGGAAGAAAATACTCATTGTTGTAGAGGGAGTCTATAGGTAAATTTTATATCATTATCCCTCTTACCTGATGAATTTCTGGAATATATAGAGGATATTTAAGGTTGCGTTTTTATTAATACAGGAATTATTTTCATCAAGTGGTATGAAAATAATATTTCATGTGTGACAGTAGCCACCAGTGAAATATGATAATTGTCATACCACAAATAAATGAAAATACATCCTGTATTTACTGACAAAAACTTGAATTTTCTGTTTATTATACAAATTTTCTCTTTATTATATTACTATTTGAAAATTTTCCACTTAAATTTTGTGTATTGGCTGAATTTAAAAGAAAGTAGGCAAGCAAGCTATCAGTTAAAATATGAAAAATATGTTTCACTGCAGTGACAAATAAATTTTTACAGTGAAAATACAGAAAATGAAACTATGCATTTTATTTCATCTTTATTTATAATTATTTCGTTTAAAAGTTTATTTCATCAATTTTTCTCAATATTTCATTTAAAATGATAAAATAAATACTAATTTCCATCAGTCAGTTTTATGAATATCAAAATGAAAAATTAGAAATAGGTCAGCCAACAGTATTGAGTCTTGAAAGTACTGTTGATAGATACAAATCATAGGGTCATAGCCCGGCCATGTTATACCAAAGACTTAAATTAAAGCTAACCCTGGTGTCTGATGATGTTGCGTTAACTGGCACAAGACAGTTCCTCTCATTTCTGTTTAATCGTTGAATTCTTGTTATACATATTACTCCAGAAATTGTTTGTGGGAATTGATGAACTGAAGATGTAGAACTTGTTTAATGATCGAACTTAAATAAAGACTTGTAAATTAAAATAATCCATGTTAAATACATACCAATAATTTCAAAATGAACTGTATTCATTTCAGTATGGAAGGATCTATAATTTGTCTACCAGAGGTAATACGACTGAAGAAGAAATACAAGGCATATTTGTACCTAGATGAGGCTCACAGTATAGGGGCTATGGGTGATCATGGTAAAGGTGTTGTAGACTATTTCAACCTCGACCCTCATGATATTGATATAATGATGGGTACATTCACAAAAAGTTTTGGAGCTGCTGGTGGCTACATCGGAGGGTCAAAGGTCAGTTTACATACATGTTTATTATAAGCCTAGCAGCTTGGGTTATATATGAAAACAACAATTTATATAAGGCCATATAACCTGTCAGAAATCTTTAATACGAATTTATAATACTGCAAACTTCCTGTTTTTGAGAAAAAAGTGAGCTTTCTTCATAAATTAACTGCAGCTGTGTATATAAAACTGATATATACGTCACAATTAGGGTCTGTGGCCAAGTGGTTAAGGTCGTTGACTTCAAACCACTTGCCCCTCACCGCTATGGGTTCGAATCCCGACAGGGACTTTGGATTTTTTTATGTGAGGAAGCTATCCAGCTAGCTTACGGAACGTTGGTGGTTCTACTCAGGGTGCCCGTTCGTGCCTGGAATAATGCACGAAGGGGCACCTGAGGTCTTCCTCCACCAGTAAAGCTGGAACGTCGCGGTATGACCTAAAACCCAATAAAAAAAATCAAACAAACACAATTAGCCAATGAAAAGCGGCATTACAACGGTGAAGTATTATAAATGAAATTGTATATCCTGGTTAATTTATATCAGTTGCTAGTACATGTACTGGAACATTGTTGCATATTTTATCAACTCAATATTAAAATGTGATTATAAAAAGTTGTTTGCAAAACATTGCTCACTTTATGAATGTAAAATTTAGGTGAAGAAGCTGTTGATGATATGTCTGAATTTTGCTAATTGCTTAATTGTTCAATGATTAAAAAAAAAAAATATCTTGAGAATGAAATGGACAGATGTTAATTTGAATTTAATTATCTAATATTAAAGGGTGATAACACAAAATCAGCTAATAGTTTGTTTAGTATGATGTACTTTTTTTATATACTCAATATATATGTATTCTTTGATATTTTTGTGTTGCAGAAGTTGATAAATTACCTGAAAGTGTCATCCCATTGTTCAGTGTATGCCCCGTCCATGCCACCTCCTGTAGCCCAGCAGGTTATCTCTTCCATGAAAATCATTATGGGCCTTGATGGAACAAATGAAGGTAAATATATTTTTCATCCATTGAATATTTTTGCCAATTACCACCTACAGTTATACCTATCTCACCAGTAAAAAGCTAGGTCTGTCTGCACATCCATAAAATCTGACCAGATTTAATATATTGTCGGTTGCTTAATTTAACTTTTGAAGTAATAGTGGACATTTCTTTCCAGTAATTTAAAGGATGGCAAGTCTTGTTAAGCTGTTGAACTGTTGAGATATTGGTATTGTTGAAGCAATTTTAGAAATGTGTATTAAAGAGTTATATATGAAAATAGGAATAAGTTATTATATAATATATAAAAGAAGAAGCTTTCACATTTATGCAATCTGACCACATTCTATACTGTAGATGCCTCTCACCACTGTGGGTTCAAATCTCGACAGGGTCTTTGGATTCCTTCATGTGAGGAAGCTATCCAGCTAGCTTATGGACCGTCAGTGGTTCTACTCAGGTGCCCGTTCGTGCCTGAATTAATGCACGAAAGGGCACCTGAGGTCTTCCTCTACCAGTAAAGCTGGAACATCGCCAATGACCTATACTGTGTCGGTGTGACAAAACACCCGATCAAACAAACAGATACTATTGATATAATATGGAATTCTGAATATTCTAAAGATTGCTGCTAACTGTTGAATTGTAGGACTATTTTTAAATGTTGTATTTCAGGAAAACGAAGAATACAACAGTTGAAATGGAATTGTCGTTACTTCCGTAGAAATTTACACGAACGTGGATACATAATATATGGCAATAAAGATTCTCCCGTTGTTCCATTATTGCTTTTCATGCCAACTAAACTTGCGTAAGTTATCTTTTTTGCCGTCACATATACAAAGACTATTCTAAGAATAAATGGGCAGTTCAGGTACTTTTCAGACTGTATGGGCATGCATAGATTTTCATTGATAAATTTCCTTACAGAATTAAGTGCCTTAACTTACATGTATGTACTCAAAATTATCGCTATTGAAAAGTCATATCCTCACAAACACATATGAGCCGTGTCACGACAAAACCAATGTAATGCGTTTGCAACCAGCATGGATCCAGACCAGCCTGCGCATCCGCGCAGTCTCATCTGGATCCATGCTGTTCGCTATCAGTTTCTCTACTTGTTATAGGGTTTGTAAGCGAATAGCATGGATCCTGATCAGACTGCGCGGATGCGCAGGCTGGTCTGGATCCATGCTGGTCGCAAACCCATTATGTTGGTTTTGTCGTGACGCGGCTCATATATTCACTTGATTTGTCACACATGACTTTAATGTCATTATAGATCATGGTAGCTAGCAAAGACCCATATCTCTATATTGGAACAAAATGTATATTTTTGACATTCAATTGAAATGAAATCATTTGAATCTGGTCTTGAGATTTAATTGTTGTTTGCTTTTCTTGCAACCAGTTTTCACAGTAAACAGGAATGCCTGATATCAGTGCTTTAAAAGCTGATATTTGACACAAGAAGTAAATAGCTTACTCTTAAAATTTGATGTTTTAGCCATATTTTAACATAATTACACTTGTAAAAAAAATGATGAACTTGTTTTAACCAAATAGCTATGTAATAGCTTTTATCTTTTAACATTTACAGTGCCTTCAGTAGAGAATGTCGTAGTAGAGCCCTTGGTGCGGTCGTAGTTGGTTTTCCTGCCACACCTATTACTAAAACACGAGCCAGATTCTGTTTGTCCGCCGCCCATACAAAAGAAGATATTGATGAAGTCAGTATAATATTATGACAAACTTTTTTATGAACTTTTTTCTTGCTTTGAATAAGAATTAATATTAGTATTGATTGTGTGTGAAAGTCTGTAGGCCAATATTTGCAGTCTAACCCAGACTCAAAACAGTCATTTGCATTTCATTGGCTGAGTTGTTAAGACACTCTGAAATTGCTGGTACTGCTCTTTCTGTTACTTGACTTACCTGTGCCATTTGCACAGGCCACACCAGTATGTGCAGTCTAACCCTGACTCAAAACACTCACTGATGTTTCATTATCCGGTCGACGAAGAAACTGCAAATAGCTGGTCCTACTAACGTGCTTGGTGTTCTGTTTGGAGGGGACACCACCATAGGTCTTTTATACCAGTATAGCATGGATATCCTTTTAATGCAATAAATATCAAGTTCATCTTGTCTGGAGTTGATAAAACTTTTTAATAAAACTATGAATATGTTTATTTTAGGCATTGAAAATCATAGAAGAGGTAGGAGATCTTATCCGGCTGAGATATACTCTAAACTTCCAGTACCTGACTTCAGTGAGAAAGAGATAACCCTTGTTGAGGTAGCTAATTTGTTATGTATATAGGATAATATATATTATGCTAATATAATGCAATAACCTATGATAATATAATTATATTATAATAATGATATAAAATAACATATTTCAGCATAATGTTTGTGTTTTTACAAATGATTTTCTTTTTTGAATTGCTGGGACTAATTTGGTAGCTTAAGTTTTTTTCTGAAATTATACATTGAGAAAAGCATATTATTGAAAACAAAAGAATTTTTATGCTCCCCGAAAAATTTCAGGGGAGCATATAGTCGGCACCTTGTCCGTCCGTCTGTCCGTTGTCTTGTCCGGAGCATAACTTGAAAACCCTTGGAGATAATTTGTTTAAACTTCATACAGTGGTAGAGGGCATTGAGGGAGAGTGCAGTGTCAAAGAACCATAACTCTATTTTGCCCAGTTTTAGAATTATCTCCCCTTTTAGAAAAATCTTGTCCGGGACATAACTCTAAAACTATAAGAGATATCAACATGAAACTTTGTAGGTGAATGGATCTCAGAGGGTAGATGTGCAGTGCATAAGAACAATAACTCTTTTTGTCCTAATTTTGGAGTTATTGCCCTTTGTTAATTTTAACACTTTGAACTTTGTCCGGAACATAACTCTAAAACTATAAGAGATATCAACATGAAACTTTGTAGGTAGATATATCTCAATGGGTAGATGTGCAGTGCACAAGAATCTTAACTCTGCCTTGCCTAATTCTGGAGTTATTGCCCTTTGTTTATTTTTACTTTTTGAAGTTGTCTGGGACATAACTCGGAAACCATAAGAGATATCAACATGAAACTTTGTAGGTTGATAGATCACATTGATTAGAAGTGCAGTGCAAAGAACAGTAACTCTGCCTTGCCTTATTTTGGAATTATTGCACTTTGAACTTTTTCCAAGGACATAACTCTGAAACTAAAAGAGGTGTACTTTCCTGTGTCCAAAACCTATTCGGGGAGCATCACCCGGCTCAAACCGGGCTCTTGTTTCTCTATGTAATCTAACTGAAAAACATCAACTTAAAAATAAGCAGTCAAATGACGTATAAGATTATTCATGCATTGAGCAAATATGACTTGAAGAGTATTCCCCCCTGATTTTCGTTCACTTTTTGTATTTAATAAATTTATTGAATATTATTGAATACTATTTTGTATTTCAGTGAACAAAGATTGGAGAACAACTGTAGATATTTTCGTCATAAAAGGGACCTGTTGATAACTCTGTCTTTCCATCATCATTATCGTAGTTACAGAAATGGAAAATCAAAAAACATTGTCTTCCTTTACAGTATATCAAGAGAAATAAATCAAACATGTCATGCATATGGGTCGCAGAAATTCTGAAATTGATTGGTGTGCTGAAAAAATACCTAAAAGTATGGTGAAAGACACTTAAGAATAAATATTAAAATGAAAAACAATTATGAAGGTTATGTTGATGATAAGATTGAACATTTTGTCAACAGTAAAGAAGATTTAGTCTTGGAAATTTAAAAAAAAAACAACAACAAAAATGTGAATGAGTTAATATTTATTATTAATGTATTGTAAAAGCAAAAGTGAAAAATGAATATCAGTATATGTAAATAAAGTTTCAATAATCAGTGTATCAAAAAAGGGGTTATAATTATTCAAATGTGAGCAAAGTCAACAACTAAGAGAAAATTGTGAACAAGATGAAAAGTAAAATCGTAATTTTGTGTCAGACGGAAATGGACCAATAGATTTGATGAAGAACTAGAAATTTGGAAATATTGAAATCAGAGGATTAGTTGAAAAAAGAGTGGAGATACATAAACAATATGCTTGATGTCCAACAATTTCTTTAAAAAAAAGTTTTTACTTGGTTATATATTGCATAATGTTGTGAAAATATGTGTTGTTATTGACTTAGACTATTATCTCAGCAATATTGTACTAAAACTTCAGCTATGAATATAATATTTAGGAATATCTATCTTGTTGCTTATAAAGTAAGAGAAATAATTTTTGTATGATGAAAATTGTAGGAAATTATATTTGGAGTGATAAAACATGTATATTTTTTTTGTAATTATTAAAGAATTTTCCAAGCAATAATTGTAATGAGCATTCTTAAGGCATTTTATATGATCAAAATAATAGATAGAAATACTCTCTAAACGGTGGAAAGTTTCCTCGTCATTAGATTTTGGAAATAATATATTCTTTTGTGAGTCACCTTTTTGCCTTGTACACTGCTATTTGTATTTTGATCTCGATAGAAATGTGGCTTTTGCCCTTTTAATTGTATTTTTACAGCAGATATTGTTTTAAACATGTGGTATGAAGACAGTTTACAGAAATGATATGTAGTATTCTAGAAACAAGGCTCTTTTGTTCATTTGAAATAAGTTCATGCATTAACCAATCAAAGTAACAACTAAAGACACACACCTTTAATGTTAATATTTCACCTACCTCTTTTAACACATTCTGCTCATTACATCTTTTTATATTTTTCTACTTTAACTTGGAGGAAAAAACACAAAACATTTCACACATATACATTCTTGTCATTTCATTCTAACAAAGACTTTAATTATTATTTTCTCTGATACCAAATTTTAATTAAGTTTTTCATTTTTTCCATCTTGAAGCAATTAATATCTTCTCATATACCCTGTTTTAAATTTTAGGGTACCTGTCAGTGTGTTGAAATGACATATTTGTCTTAAAGAATCTGAAAGTATACTTTGAAATGAAAAATGGTATGCTTTTGGGCTATAACCAAAGTTTTATATTTAACAATACATGTATATATTCAATGAACAGTTAGTTTTGAAATTCTGTGTAACAGAACTTGTTTTAAACTAAACAATACAGTTTAAAAAAACAAACTGAGTGACACAACTGCATGAAGTTCTAACCTATTATGAAAATAAGAAATTTATACCAATAAAAGAAGAAATGTCTTTTTTTAAAAAGTCAGGATTCATAGAATTTATATTTTTTGTTTGTGTTTTCTATTTCATATAGCATATGGAACTTAAGTGATTTGTTATATTGATAGTTTTAAATTGTTTTGTTAAAATAATACGGAAAGTTTAGTTGTGATTTGTTTATGGTGATGATTTTTCTTTAATTTTCTTGTTGCAGCTTTTAAAACATTTATTTAATTGTTGATATAAAATGTTTCAATAAGAAAAAGATAAAATATGTTTTCATAAGAGAGCAATGCTTGTTTTAATGTTGTAAAATTTACCACTTATAAGTTTGCTTGCCAGATGAATAATGTGTTTAAATTTTTTTTTTTTAATGAGTATTTTTTTTTTTGATTTAAGTGATATTTTAAGTCGGACAAAGGCAACTTAAACATTGTTAAAACTTAAAACTAGTGACAGCATCTGAATTTACCCATGCGACCAACCAGCGCAGACCAAAATCAGCCATGACGTTTGTGTCATCTGATCAGCGTCTGCACTGATTACTATCCAGTCACTATGTATTTTGAATTTTTCCCTAAAATAGTAGAATGGTTTTGTGAATAAATTTATCTTTATATTATATGAATAAGTAATTCATATCTGCAGATGATAACTGTATGTTATGTAGATGAATTGACAAAACTGTCAGCTCTTGGGTTTTTTGTGAAAATACAAACAAACAAATGAAATAAAATGGGTTTAAAATAAGCAATAAGCAGTCTCGGGTGTGTTTTTGAGTGTGTTTGGCCATATGTGCGTGTGTGTATATATTTAAATATATATATATTATCATAGAATACTAATTTGTAATTATATTTTGTTACATTTATAAATCTTTTTGCATATATCAGTATTTGCATGTTAAGTTTTGTTCTTGCCAAATTTGTCAGTTTAGTTTTTGTCTCTCCTAAAATCTCAATCTCATATACCCTGTTTTAAATTTTAGGGTACCTGTCAGTGTGTTGAAATGACATATTTGTCTTAAAGAATCTGAAAGTATACTTTGAAATGAAAAATGGTATGCTTTTGGGCTATAACCAAAGTTTTATATTTAACAATACATGTATATATTCAATGAACAGTTAGTTTTGAAATTCTGTGTAACAGAACTTGTTTTAAACTAAACAATACAGTTTAAAAAAACAAACTGAGTGACGCAACTGCATGAAGTTCTAACCTATTATGAAAATAAGAAATTTATACCAATAAAAGAAGAAATGTCTTTTTTTAAAAAGTCAGGATTCATAGAATTTATATTTTTTGTTTGTGTTTTCTATTTCATATAGCATATGGAACTTAAGTGATTTGTTATATTGATAGTTTTAAATTGTTTTGTTAAAATAATACGGAAAGTTTAGTTGTGATTTGTTTATGGTGATGATTTTTCTTTAATTTTCTTGTTGCAGCTTTTAAAACATTTATTTAATTGTTGATATAAAATGTTTTAATAAGAAAAAGATCAAATATGTTTTCATAAGAGAGCAATGCTTGTTTTAATGTTGTAAAATTTACCACTTATAAGTTTGCTTGCCAGATGAATAATGTGTTCAAATTTTTTTTTTTTAATGAGTATTTTTTTTTTTTGATTTAAGTGATATTTTAAGTCGGATATAGGCAACTTAAACATTGTTAAAACTTAAAACTAGTGACAGCATCTGAATTTACCCATGCGACCAACCAGCGCAGACCAAAATCAGCCATGACGTTTGTGTCATCTGATCAGCGTTTGCACTGATTACTATCCAGTCACTATGTATTTTGAATTTTTCCCTAAAATAGTAGAATGGTTTTGTGAATAAATTTATCTTTATATTATATGAATAAGTAATTCATATCTGCAGATGATAACTGTATGTTATGTAGATGAATTGACAAAACTTTCAGCACTTTGGTTTTTTGTGAAAATACAAACAAACAAAATAAAATGGGTTTGGGATAAGCAATAAGCAGACTTGGGTGTGTTTTTGAGTGTGTTTGGCCATATGTGCGTGTGTGTATATATTTAAATATATATATATTATCATAGAATACTAATTTGTAATTATATTTTGTTACATTTATAAATCTTTTTGCATATATCAGTATTTGCATGTTAAGTTTTGTTCTTGCCAAATTTGTCAGTTTAGTTTTTGTCTCTCCTAAAATCTCAACTCCTAGTCATTTTTAGATCTTTGTTATTATTTTTCTGATGATATATTTACACATAAAAAGCTGAGATTAGGTTATAAGATTAATTTATGGCACTAGACAATGTTAAAATGTGAAAACATCGTTAGAAAAAAAAGAGAGAAAGTTTTATGATTCAGTATCTCATTGCCATGGCAACTGAATTTTTCAAATTTATATCTTAACCTGTATTTTACAGAGTACAAATATACTGAGAAATTGTGGTCAGGAGAATTGTTAAGAGATGATTTTAGACTCAAGTGGAACATATTATTTGCGTAGTGAAAGAATTGTTGATGGTAAAATTAATTATTTACACCATTGACTGATGAATTGTTTTTTTATATTTTTTTTCTCTCCCAAATTTCATCTGTTTAATGCTGTTTATTCACTATACTGCTTGCCTATATTCTGTACAGTATTTACTGAATGTTTTATTATGAAAATTGAACATTTTTATTGCACTGTTACTTACCATTTTTAGCATTATATTTATTACAATTTTTTAAGCATACATTAAATAATGTTTTAGTTTAATGTTAAAGTTAAATCCATGTTTTAGATATTTGGAAGGTATATTCAAATATAGGCATTTTGTTTTAAATGATAACTTATTTTAAAGCTTTTTTTTAAAGTTAAATAAAAGAAAGAAAACAGCTTTTTTTAAAAAAGAAAAAAATGTGTACTTCTTAACATGAAAAGATGTGTACAATTTTTTTCTTAAGAAATAATTTTTATATGTAAATTTTTTTGTTTAACTTTGGTTTAGCTTTTGAATATACATGTATATAAGATTTGTATTGAAACACTTTTGAATTCGAATGATAATAAATACAATGTACATTTTTAAGTTGTATGTTTCATTTTGAAAATTTATGAGAGATAATTGTTTTAAATGCTAACCCCACTTTTTGCTAATTTTATCACTTATCTAGCAACCAAGGCATATAATCTACTATATTTTCATTCACTAGTTTTACCTTCTATATTCGAGCACACTTGAAAAACATACTTGGATTGATACTTACTTTTCATGCCAAAAGTCTAACATTAAAGCTTAACAGAAATAGAACCATATATTGACATCTTCATGTCTGTAAGTGGTCATTGGCTCAGGTTAGACAGTATTTCTTTAAACTTCTTAAAGGTTTTACAACAAGTGAGGGAATAGAGGTATCTCTAGAAGTTCTCTCAAGTTTTGAAAACGTCTATGAAATATAATGTAGATTATAATGGACTGTATGACGGACATGCCGTGAGCATGTTTTGAACTGGCCAGGCTCGATCCCTTAGTTTTGTACATTATAGACTGCATGACAAACTGAGAGAGACTTCAAGAAAGATGTTTCTTCTTTCTCTGTTCAAAAGGATTGTTTTAAGTTTTTGATATTTTATTGATTTTGATTGTTTAACTTACATTTTAACACTCGCACACAAAATAAAAACAACAAACTTATAAAAATGAGTATTGGATTGAATATTGCTATAAATCAAGGGACTATAAACATTTGACTCATGTTTTTAAGACCCTTTGTAAATGGAAGACTTACCATGAAAAATATATATAGATTCTTTACATTAAATTTAAATCCAATTTCCATATCAAAAGCTTTATTATTTAAGATTTGTTTGTTTGCTTGTAATTCGTTTTTGATAATAATTCAGCTTCATGTACCTGAAAATTAGGTTTTTACATGAAAGATGTATTTGTTCAGCTTATGATAGTACACATTCCATATATGATTTTCACCTTACCAATGGCATCATACTGTAGACGGGTATAAACTTACTAAAAAGCTTTTTCCCCCCAATTTCCTACTGTGCTTTCTATTTACTCATTATTTTCTCTGTGTTTATTAGGAAAGTTTACTAAATTTATCATTTCTCAGTACCAATGATTATATGTTCTGTATGAACAATGCTTATGGTCTTGATGTCAAAAATATTACAGGAAAGAAGTTTTTACTGATACTTGCATAAAGAATAAATAAATGCTCATATTATCTTTTGTTTTAAGTGTTTTTGTTCACCAGAAAAATGTGTGTTATATGTGTAAATGTCCTGTAATGTACTAGTATATGTGCAGAAGCTGAAAATTGTATTACTTATAAAGATAAGATAAGATATACAGTACCACGCCCCATAGTTTGTCTGTAAGCATTGTTTTGTCATTTGATGTTTGACTTGCTATTTAGCTTTTAGCCTACTGGCAGCAAGAGATACCCATACTACCCGTGCGACCAGTACAGACCAAGATCACCTGGCAAGTCCGCGCTGTCTGATCATGGTCTGCACTGTTCAAAATTCAGTCGGTTACATATTTAATACATACTTAAAAAGAGATGAATGTTTTGTTGTGATTGAAAACTGGACTAGTCTATTGAGCGGTGTAAGGGTTAAAGGGACATTTACCTGTAATAAGTAGTAAATGTCACTAGTCATGTGTTTTTAAAGTGATATTTACTGAAGAGTGGTAAATGTCACTAGTCATGTGTTTTAAAGTGGTATTTACTGAAGAGTGGTAAATGTCACTAGTCATGTGTTTTTAAAGTGATATTGACTGAAGAGGGGTAAATGTCATTGAAGACTTTTGCTTTCATGTGATAGATATGTTTGATAATGTACAATAATAGATCTGTATAAAGATAGTCAGTAGTTAGGTTAGAAATGTATGTTCATGTAATATAGTATCTTTTTATTCCATATTACCTTTTTATTAAAGCTTTATGAACAAATTATATAGAATTTCTCTTTATAAAGATCCATGTTATGTTTAGAGTATTGAACAAAACAAATTAAAGGTATATTGTGCGCAAACTTTTACATTAAGATTTCAAATACAGATGATCTGATTTCAAAATATACATAAAGGAACCCAGTCAGCATGCACAAATAATACTCCATGCGTTTAGGTGAGAGGTAGCCTAATGGTAAGGGTATCCGTCTCTCAAGCCATAGGTTATGGGTTAAGGCCCTTCTTAGGTAAGGACCCCATGTTCTTGATAAGATCATAGCACTGGTAAACCCTGGAAATGGATTAAGAGTGTTTCAAATAATTGCCATCTTTTCATCCATGAACACCCTTTATCATTATTAAATATATAAGCCCCTGCAGACTTGAACAATTGAGAAAGGTTTTTGATTATAAAATGTGTCAATGTAGGTAAATGCATAATATACCTTTAACCAAAGTGGATATAGACTAGCTTTTATATATAAGGATTGTCTATATATTTATTTCCAGAATGCCTTGCCATACTAGGACCCTTATGTCAGTAGAATATTAACTAAGTCATATGAGCCGTGTCACGACAAAACCAACATGATGGGTTTGCCACCAGCATGGATCCAGACCAGCCTGCGCATCCGTGCAGTCTGATCAGGATCCATGCTGTTCGCTTACCAACTCTATTACAAGTAGAGAAACTGATAGCGAACAGCATGGATCCTGATCAGACTGCGCGGATGCGCAGGCTGGTCTGGATCCATGCTGGTCGCAAACCCATTATGTTGGTTTTGTCGTGACGTGGCTCATATATGTTCTAGGCTTAATGTTAAATATCTATATGTATTGTTTTTATATATACATGTATGGTGCTGAGTAAATTCATGTTCTTCATACTTATAAAGTATTTTTGTTTGTTGTGTGCCTTAGTTTGTGTGGCAAATGATAAGTTTGTTTTTGATAATAAATAAGCTTTTCAGAGAAGTAGAGAATACTTAGTTTAATTTGAATATTAAGTAAATTTTATACTAACCTATTTATAAGAAGAATGTTATAGGAGAAATTTGGTGATAAGTAAGCATGAAATATCTTACTTAAAAGGTTTTCACTGTCTGTACAATTTTAATAAGATATTATAATAAAAAAATCCAATGTCAAATGAAAAAAACAGTGTTTGAAATAGACCTTTCCATTTTAAAATGAAAATTTCATGAAAAAGAACCTTTCTTTCAATGATAATTATTTACTATTTGATTGAAAAAGCAAGAGGTTTTAGGTAAGCTTACAATAATATGTTATAAATTTTTAATATTTTAATTTTAGTTTTAGTAACGTGTTTTAGTTTCATTTTGAGTCAGTCATTTGTCTGATATACAAAATATGTATGTGTTGTGTTTCAACGTATTCATACTACAGTCAATGTGATTGTGCCATGTAGTAATGTCTTCAGCTTTGGCTGAATATAATCAAAATGTTAAATTATAAAAGTGTTGTATAGTTTGGGATATTTATTGAAATTTATATAGATCTCTTGTAACCTTGTTTATTGTTTAGAAACAAAGTGATGCCTTCAGATGTTACAGAAATATTCAGATTTTGTTCTAAAGTTGTGAAAAGTACCCCATACAATATTATTTTTCTTGCTAAAGCTATAGTATACATTGACTGTTGTGTTTTAAGAATATATGAGCCGTGTCATGACAAAACCAACATAGTGGGTTTGCGAACAGCATGGATCCAGACCAGCCTGTGCCTCTGCGCAGTCTGATCAGGATCCATGCTGTTCCCTATCAGTTTCTCTACTTGTAATAGGGTTTGTAAGCGAACGGCATGGAACCTGATCAGACTGCGCGGATGCGCAGGCTGGTCTGGATCCATAGTGGTCGCAAATACATTATGTTGGTTTTGTCATGGCGCGGCTCATTTGAACTGTATGTATAAAAGTAATAAACATAAAATAGCTAATCGGTGCAGAGTACATAACTTGTGAATGTACAGAATGAAGATCAAAGTTGTAAGCCATTAAGAAAAAATGTGTATTGGTGAACATTTAGTGTTTGTATTCTCTTTTGGTATTATCTTTTGTTCAATATAATAGCTTTATTTCAATTGTTTTAATGTACCCACAATATCGACAATAAAGTTTGTATTTTGTAAATGATCTATTTTGTTCATGTTATTGCTATCAAGGGGATTAACCGATGAAAAGCATGCAAAAACATGTCAGTGATTGCCTCCCTTAGCGGGTGTGTTTTGCAAGCTTAAATTTGATTGGTCAATATTTAGCCAATGATAAAAATGGTTAGGAACTTGATGTAAACAGTTATCAACATGGCTCCGGGTGCGACAGTCGCAAATGGCTCTATTCATATGAACGGGAATGTAAATGGAAAAGTGTATGCTCGAAATGGACATAAAACAAATGGAACTCACCATAAGGTATTTTAATATTTGTATGAGATTCTTTCATCTACAATTATTTTCAAATTTACAAACGAGTGGATAATTCGTAAGAGATAGAATTATTGATGCCGTGAGAGAACACCGGTGTCAAGGAAAACAACTTTAATTTATACATGTTTTCGTGATCTTAAAAAAATGTAAATTTACGGAAATTATCACTTTTTACAAGTTCAGTTCATCTTCAGAAACAATACGTGATCATTTTAAAGGTGTGCTTACATGAGTTTAGACACGCCCCAATTTTTGTCGGCCTTGACATTGAAATCGTCTCCCTTGATAGATTTCACATAAAATTCGTAAGGTAACCAAAACAAACCAACAACAATTACTGTTTACGTTATATAAATTAGCATTCATGACCTTAATGTAACATGTAAAGAGCTATTTAAAAACATTGATTAATAGGGTAATATATAAGTACACTGTAAGCACTTTAGATTTAGGTGGCAAAAATTGTGACTAAAATCTACCAAGATTGTTATGTCCATGACTTGTATTCTCAAAAGTCTTATCTCTTTTTTGGTTTATTGGATATTTTCTGAAAATCAAATCTATATTTTCGTTTTCATTTCTTTGATATCCAGCAAATCAAAAAGTTTAAAAGTTTATCATATTATATGAAAGCTTGTCTTGGCCTTGTCCAGGTTGTCAAATTCCTTATTTATTGTGTCATTGTTCAAAAATGAATGACTACTATTTCATTTTTTCATGCTGAAATGAAGTGAAAATGTATATTAATATACTTTATGTTATATTTAAAATAAATTTGATGGTTTGATTTGTGCAGGATCTCCTCTTTTATATTTGGATCTAATTTATTATTTAATATCATATTAAGTAAAGCAAATTGGCATGTATCTCATCTTGTCCAGTAACTGGGTCATGCATGTTTCTGCATGATAAACATCCTTGTCACACAAATGTTTAAATTGATTTGAATGAAATTTTGTTTCTGAATTCAAATGGATGCAACTTAAAATACAGAAATCTTGAATGAAACAGTTAACTACAAGTTATCTTTGCTTACATCATTACTAATTCACTTTTTCAATACCTAGGCAAAATAACTTAATATCTTGAGCTAAATCCTGAGATATTTTTTGTTTTGAGTCAGCTCTCTGTGATATATTTGTACTACAATGAGATTGACTGCTTACATGTAACTTTGACTTGACCAAAAAAATCAGAAGTAGGAAAAACTGTGTTTTTTAATATATTCAAGTCAAGGATTAGTTAATCAGTAAATGTATTATGTCTAAACAAGAAGGATTTACTTCTGTATCAACCCATTAAGGAACAACAGATGAAGATTAAAGATTCGAAATATTTTATTTGGTAAAGTAAAAAGATTAAAGATTTCATCAAGTTTATGCAAAACTTTACTTATTTTTCACACCTTGTAAAGTTGTATTCGATTTTGTTGATCTACATTGATGCTTTGATAACCCTCTAGACAAGTTTGATCATGTACTGACAGTCAAATAGTTTGTCCATACATCAGAGACTGGTCAAACTGTTATATAAAATATTATATAACTGATACAAATATTGATTTAAAAGATTTTAAACTATTCTTTTATTCTGACTTTAGAAAAAGAAAGTATTTAATTGATCACCATAAGTGTAGGACAAAAGCCCCCCCGGACGAAAGCCCCCCTTCTAAAAATGACAAGGTGGACAAAAGCCCCCCCCATGAAATTTCCACATAGGACAAAAGCCCCCCCCATAAAAAAGTAAAGGTAGGACAAAAGCCCCCCATTGTCCATCAAATTTACATTTAGTGTAAATGAATTAATGGGTGAGAAGACTATGGCACAATTTCTGTATGCCATGTCACAATGTATCAGACTCAACTAGATGTGAACATTTTCTGAAACTGAACTGTAGCAGAGACTGTGAGAATAATTTATCAATAAATTGTGCTTTATTTCATGCATGTGCTCTTCATCTTCATGTTTGTAATATTTTTAAGCATGTATGTATTAAAGTTGTGTTTTTATGTGTATAAAAAATATGTATGGACATCAAATGTAGGTGACATAGTGTTAAGGATATTAATAAAAATTTTGATCCCTTTACAAAAGTGATTAAACATTACTACTCTTCTGACGCTTGTTGTGTATATGAAAAGCTATGAATTCAGTATTACATGCATGCATTATTTCATCTGTTATCATACTTTGTTATCACTTCAATATATACATTATTAATAAACATTAAAGCAGCACGCCTCCAGATTCATCCTGATTTTCATGAAAATTTTGAAAATGTATTTAAAGGTAAAATATTGTGAAATGAACAAAGAAATTACTTGACACATTACAATCGGCACTTAAAATCCACGTAAATTACCAAAAAGAGGTAAAAATATGCATAAATAGCCCTACTGCGTTAGTAACGCAGTAGAAATATGGTGATAAATACTACAAAATACAGTCATTAATTGCACATAATGTATACACTATATGTAAATTTGATGGACCATGGGGGGGCTTTTGTCCTACCTTTACTTTTTTATGGGGGGGCTTTTGTCCTATGTGGAAATTTCATGGGGGGGCTTTTGTCCACCTTGTCATTTTTAGAAGTGGGGCTTTCGTCCGGGGGGGCTTTTGTCCGTACTTACTAACTGTGATTTCTTTTGCAAGTTTGGGAAAGGGTATTTGATATAATCTAATTTGGGGAATTCCAATTGTGATCATATATATTGTTTTGTGTATCTTATTTTGCAATTTAAGGATCAATGTCTCTAATTTTGTTTGATTTTAATATTAATAAGATATTTTTATGATGATTCATTACTCAATGAGAAATGTTATCTGAAGCCTGCATTTTGGAACTGATTAGAAAAGTGTCTTAAACACAAGAAAAAAAGACTGTGCTAATTTGATAACTGTGATATTCTTTTAAAACATGCTTAACTTTCTGTACATTTTAAAATAGAGAGAATACATTTTATAGAAGTTAAAAACTAAGTCTCTGAAAATGGTGACTCACAAACATGCAGTAAAAAGGGTAGTAAAACGTTTTGTAAGGTAAATATATTTTTTGGTAAAAATAAAGCTGAAGATCACTTCTTGATAAAACCACACATACAGAATATATATTTTAACCCATTACTTCATGAGCATTTTGTGAAAAATGGCTGTTTTCATTGAAAAGTCTCCCGTTACAAGTTCAAACTGCTATAAAACTATAAAAACTGCTTCAACACTAATCAAACTTGGCACAAATGTTGACTGGACCATTGCCCTTGCAACAACATGCTCAGGCTTAAATTTTCTGTTACCATGGCAACGAGGGGACATCTCAAAATTGCCAAAAATCACTATTTTGCGTTGATTTTTTCCATCAAAATTGATTTCAAAGTGCTGCAACTTCTCAATGGATTGAGATAGAGTCAAATGCTTTTCAGCGTTGGTTACGCGTTACCATATGATCAATCTGGGGTAATTTACAGCCTCTCACAAGTCCAAAATTTTCTTGGCGATGAGGGGGACTCCGCCCCCCTTCAAACCCCCCAAACAGAAGGGGGCACATCCCCCTTCTGGCAACCCCCTGATGTATCTTTTGGTTGGGGGGCCGCGCCGAAAAAGAGGTCACTTTTTTTAACAACATTTCTCAAACAAAAACAAGTGTTTGGGGCCTAAATAAGGCATTTTTTCATCATTTGAGACAACAAAAAGGGGGGGGGGGTGAAAAAGGCGTTAAAAGGCGTGTATATGAAGTAATGGGTTAATAATACCACCTGCACTGCAAAAAAAAATCACTTGCCTTTACATTAAGGATGATTAAGCACATGTTATCAACAGGATCTCTGTCTTATACTTGTATCTTATTAAAAGATTGAACTTTGACTGCACTTTCGAAAATATATAAAGTATTAATTCACTTTCCTTCAGTGACAACCAAATCTAAACATTTGCTGTTATGTCTTTGTGTTTGTACATTGAATACCCAGCCATGAAAAAAATTTGCTCAAAATTAAACTTAAATTCTAACTATTAAGAAATAATCATGACTCTGCAAGAACGTGTATTATAATAGTAATGCCAGATTTCAAACTTCCTGCAGCATTAATCAGCTCTACCTTAATTCCAATACTTGTAATGAAATAATTTGTAATGTGATATTAAATTTCTTAATTATTATCAGGAACTATTGTATACAGATATTTACCTCGAAATTATTCTATGGAAAATGTTCAGACAGATGATATAAAATCAGAGAAGTCACTCCTGATGATAGAGAATCTGAGGAACTTTTTTCAGCATACTGAAATTGAAGGCCAACATTAGACTGAAATAAAACAGTAGATTTTTTTTTTATTTAATGTAGTTCTTTTTAGGTTCTCTAGAATTTTGACATACAGTACTAATTTCTTTGGGCTAGTCATTAGTGCGAACATTAAAATAATTTGCATTCAGTTACTGAATGTTTTTCTCTTATACTATTTGTAAGCATGATTTTGTTTGCGGTGACAAACATTGTAAAATGGTTATGCCTTTTGAAATAAAATCTGGAATCTTGAAATTATGAAACACTTACTTTTTGGGGGTGGTTATTTGTGACATGCAATGTTTAACATGAGCAGGTGATAAGTAAATTGTTTTATTTTAATTAAGGCTTTTTAGAGAGAAAAAAACACACACAAATATTTGAATTAAAAATACATTACAAAATAAGTCAGAATTGTTAAATTTTGTTGGATTTTACAATGTCTTAATGGCTGTAATACAAGAAATAAGATGACAAGATATGGTCAAATGAAGAAGCGATAATTACAAAATTAGGAATCTTAGTTTTATCGGCACGCAATTATTGAAATCTGTAAGTTTTGCCAACACGCAAATATTGATCTATTTTTCATAAAAGTAATATATCTGAAATTGCTCTAGGTAAGATAAGGTTTTTATCAGGTTTTTATTTTTAGATATAATATTACAAGAGAGAGAAAAAAATCCTTGTAAGTGACTAGG